TTTATACGCTGCAGTGCCAGGGGGCGTTGATCTGCCCCCCATGCCCCTTCCCTCCCCTTCCCCTTTCACCACAACAGACTTACCAGCTGGACTAAGCTGTATTGGAAATTGGATCAGTATTGGCTGATATACCTTCTTAAAAATTGGCTATTGGTATCGGCCCCCAAAACCTCTATTGGTGCACCCCTAGCAAAAAGTATTGTTTAGTGTTGTACAACATTGTAGACATAACTCACAAGGAGAAGCTCCCTAGTGAAAATGAAGAACAAGTGTGCTAGAATACCTCGAGGATCTTGAAAAAATTTAAAAAAGAAGAAGTTGCTAAGGAATTATAATACAACTGCTGAATTGCTACAAGAAGGTGAGGAACACATGGTAAATAGCTTATAGGAAGAAAACAGGTGTACAGGGATCATCAATGGAATTATTCTGGAAAGAGCCCTAAAAATGATGGCATGATAAGGCAAGAATTGTTGATGGTATTCCCAAGATGCTAAAGGAACTGGCTGAAGACTCTTATAGTTATTAGCACCAATATTAGCACTCAGGAATGAAAGGTGAAGTCCTAGAGAACTAAAGAAGGGGCAACATGTGCCAGTTTTTAAAAAGAAGGAAAAAGGAAGAGACTAGGGTATTTAAATGTTAGGTAGCCTAACTTCAACACCTGGGAAGTTATTGGAGCAAAATAGCCAATAAGAAGAAAAACTGAATGATTGGGGAAATTAATTATAGTACCAGTTTATTAAAAAGGAGAGACTACTGCAAGTCATAAAGACAAATCCATCTATTGAGTATCCAAGGAAAATATTCACTGGAACACTACAGAGGAGGATGAAAACCATATACAAGTGATTCTCACATGGGAACGGGCCTGAATGGGATAAAACAGACCAGTTATTTGTGACATTTTAGGCCAGCATATAAAACACAAGTGAACCTGCTACAATTAATTTTCTTACTTTATCGACTTCAAACAGCAGAAAAAGTTTGTGGCAGACAAGTTTGTGACAAGTTTTGAGAATACACTGGATGATTATATTTATAGAAAAAAATCTACAATAAGTTGAGAGTGGTGAAAGTAGAAAAAAAAAGATAATGGAGTGTTCCTGAGGATTTAGAGTGAGATAGGGAGGAAAGCCATCACTGGATTTGTTCAACTGGTACTGCAAATAAAAGTTACAACTTTCACTTTGATT